CGCGGCCAGGCCCGGGGGGCTCCCCCCGCTATCGCCCCTGCCCGTGGGTGCCGGCTGCCCTTCCCCTCCGCACCTGCCTGAAGGGCCCTGCTAGACCCCGCTTTCTCCCTCCCTGCCTGGTCGGTTGCTCCCGGGGCTCTCCCCAGCGGGGCTCCCAGGGGCAGGAGGCAGGAGTCCCAGACTGGGCCTGGGGCAACAGGGGCCCAGGGTTGTCAGTGCCCAGCGGGAGATCCTCTGTGCCCTGGTGTGGACCAGGATCCTGGAAACCCCTCCTGGCCTTGGCAGTGCCTGGGGCAGCCGGGAGGAGCCCGCTGGGGGAGAGACTCTGTGCTTTGCTGTCTGTAAGGATGAGGGCTGCTGCTGCTCTGCCCCTTGCCCCCCGCTCCCTGGCTGGGCTCCCTGGTGCCTGCATCTCGGGGGTGGGGCTCAGGCGCTCCCGGCTGCTGTGGCCTGTGCCAGCTGCTGCGGGGACTGCAGGCAGCGGCACCTTGGCACCCCCAACTCCGACTGCTGTGTCTGGCCGGGCCGCCCGGGCGCCTGTCTGTCAGAGCTGCCTGGCCGCTGGCTCGGACAGCTGGCGCAGTGGTGGGGGGCAGCCTGTCACCCAGCCCCACTTTCTCTCCAGGGGCAGAGCTGGGAGCTGCTGCTGCTGCTGTTGGGGCTGCAGAAGAGGCCAAGTGCACTGAGGCTCCTGCCTGGGCGGGAGGGACTCAGAGGGGGGATTTGCTCCATATGGATTTTATCTGTTGCCTCCACCGCATGTCTGTGCTTTCCCTCGAGAGACAGGAGGGGCTGGGGCCCTCCAGTGAGGGGTGGGAAGGGGGCAGAGGAAGGTTGGGTGGGGTGTGCTGTGGGGTGTGCAGTCCTGTGCGTGCCCTTGGAGCTGCCCTAGACAGCCCCCCATGCTGCTTGCAGGCAGGATGCCACGCGGAGGCCTTACTGTGAGGGGCGTCCTCCTGCTGGATGGTTCTGAGTGGGCGCTGAGCCCAGGTGCCGCTGGGCTGCAGATGTGGGGCTGGGATGCAGGCTGCCTGGGGGACCTGGCTGGGCAGCACTTGGCATCAGTGCATGCATGCTGGGCTGGCGGAGGGTGCACTGCAGCCAGCCCAGTGGGCAGGGGCCAGGGGCAATGCTCTGTGACCCAAAGGGCCCGGGCCGGCTCCATGCGGGGTCGTGGTTTGGGATGGCCTGCGTTTCTTCTGTGCAGAGAGACCTTCCTGCCCACCCCCCACCCCCATCACCCCCTGCCAGCTAGCACAGCTTCTCACTGGGTGGGCACAGCTGGCCTGGGATAAACCCAGCTGCAAATGCAAGCCTGGCAGTGCAGTGGGTGAGAGTTGCTGGGGTGCAGCAGGGCACAGGCAGCACGATGCCGCCTACTCCTCCCTGTGCGCCTCCTGTGGAGAGTCCCATCCAGGGACTGTGCCCGCAGGACCCCCACAGTCCTGCTGCCTCAGTGAGAGCTCCCCATGGACATCAGCGCCAGCACTGGGGGCTTGGTAAGGCCCAGTTGCTTCATATCACCCCTCCCCACCACCACTGCCTTTGTGCCCGCAGTATGGGCTGGGACCCTGGAGCTCAGGGCTGGGGGTTCCTGGCCAGAGGGTTGCTGCACTGCTGACATGCCCCCAGCTCCCTGCAGCACCAGCTGCCCGCTCCTGTCTGCACTGAGCCTGTGGGGCCACAGGTCAAGCCATGATCAGACAGCTCTAGAAGGAGCCCCTTGCAGATGGGTGCCTGAGATACTCAGGAGTGAGTGTCCTGGTGGCAGGCGCCGGCTGGGGTGGAGCTGGGTGGGGGAGTCTCCAAGAGCCCCCAGGGTGTCCCTCGGGGCATGGGACAAGGTGCAATCCTGGTCCTGCCTGCCCCAGGTTGATCCATCCCACTAACTGTGCAGCCTGTGTCGGGTGGTGCACATGTGTGAGCCACATATGGGGCTGCATTGTGTGTGTGCATGTGAGCAGGGGACGGTACATGTGCATGCATGCCCAGCATGTGCAGCACAGGCAGTATGAGTGTGCACAGTGAGTGTGTGTGCGCGTGCATGCCCTGCCAGCATGGTGGGGTGTGTGCAACCATGCGTGCATGGCAGGGCACCGGCGGGCAGCGCCGCTGGGCGAGCGCACGTGCCCATCGAGCTCTCTCTAGTCCGAGAGTAAAAGTAAATAACTCCACGTGTCCACACGTCCCAAGTGCCCCACGACCAGCAGGAGCCTTGTCACCCAGCGTGGGGGCAATGCACCTGGCACGGTAGCAGTGGCTCTACCTCCAAGGCCTGCCCTGGCCCAGGGGTTTGGGGGCAGCCTGGACTAGAGCGGGGAGCAGAGCTGGACCCTGGGGCTGGCCCCGAGTTCCTAAGGGGAGCACCTGCCTTCCAGGGGCAGGACTGCAGCAGGCATCTCATCTGACGGGCAGCCTGTGCCCTGGCCCTGTGCTGGGCAGGGACAGACCTGGAGCTGGCGGGGCCCCCTGACATTGGGGTGTTTTGGCCCTGCGGTGCTGGCTTCTCCCCTGGGGTCTCCTAAGTGCTGCCCCTGCTCAGTGGCAGTGTCCAGGGCAGATGGGGTTGGGGCTCCCCTGAGCCCGCTGCACGCAGCTGCCTGCCTGCGTCCTGGTGCTGGTGCTGGCTCCCCCCCGCCCCCCTTCCGGGCTCGCTCTGGGTGGGCGGGGGATCCTGACTCATCCTCACTGGGGAGAGGCTGGCAGCTCCCGGGCTGCGTCGTGCCAGCGGAGTGAGGGAGCCGAGTCTGCCCCGGCCTCCCCCGGCCCCGGGTGCAGTCTGGCAGTAGCGTACGCTCTACGGGCGCTGCCCCACACTGCAGTTGCTGGGCACCATGGGACCGCGGTGACCCCCAGGATGTCACTGGTGGCAGTGGGGACGACTGACCTCGCTGCCTGGTGGGGAAGGCCGAGCTGAGCCCTGCGCCCACACCAGCTGGGGCCCTGCAGCCACCGAGCCGAGGTGCCCTCGGGGGCTCTGTGGGGAGCTGCCCAGGAGGGGCTGGTCAAGGGCAAGGAGGGGCTGGGCCCTGGCCCCACCGTGCAGGGCCAGCAAGGCAGTTTAGCTCCCAACCAGCCTGGAGCAGGCCGAGGCAGCAGCTTCCCTTCCTGGCAGGGCCGTGACCCCTGGGAGGTGGGGGTCTGGGCCCCTCTGTCTCTCCCACCTGGCCCCAAGAATAGACTGGGCAGAGGGGTCTGGGCTTCCCCTGGCTCTGCCTGGGCACAGCTTGGCTGGGCGGGCATCGCTGCCCACGGCCTCGCCGTGCCACGCACCCCTCGGCCTCCAGCCTCTGCTCTCCCTGTGCTAACGGGGCTGACTTCCCCCCTCCCCATATCCCTCCAGCTCCAGGGCAAGGGCCCCTGGGGACTGCAGCAGCAGGAGTGGGGAAGCCTCTGCCAGAGCAGATAAGGATTCCTGCCAGGCGGCTGTGCCAGAAATCGTGAGCCCCCAGCAGCCTCAGGAGACACAGCTCCTCCGCCCCACCGCCGGAGCGCGAGACAGGCACCTTGAGCCGAGGCTGCAAGCTGGCTCTGGCCTTTTGCGCCCGGCTGCGGGGCTGTCAGGCGTGCAGGGCACCGGAGCTGCCCCAGGGCCACCCCAGCCCCAAACGGTGCCGGCGAGGAGGAGGGCTGCAGCGGCTCCATGCCTGACTCAGCCGCCCGGAGGTGCTGGGGCAGCAAGTGCTGGCTGCAGGGGGAGGCGGGACGGAGCCCCCTGCTCTCCACACCCCTGCCGTGTCCCTGCCCACGCTGGCTGAGCCCCGAGCGCGTGATGTCAGAGTGCTGCAGTGATGTCAGGCACACGGGAGCACGAGGTCACTGCGAGGCTGGGCTGGGGTGGGGATGAGCGTGTGCGTATCCTGGCCCCCAGCGGGGCAGGACTTGTGATAGGGGGTGAGATGGGGAACAGTGTGCCTCATGGCCCATGAGCTGGGGACCCCCCGGAGTGTGGGACAAAGTGATCCGGGCATCCCCCCTCTTTCCCAGCCCCACTGCCTGCCCCAGGTCTTTGTCTGCTGCTCCCGGAGCTTAGCCAGGCGGGGAGGGGGGTACACTCTGGATTTTCTCTCGGCTTTTAAACCTTCTCAGGATGTTCTGAATAATTGATGGGTTGTGGTGCCGCAAATGGACAGGGAGTGGGGCCCAGGGCCTGGCTGGCACAGCGCACACAGCATGGGGCCGGGGGCCGCTGGGCCAGCCCCACCCCGCTCTCCCCGGGGCAGTGTACTCATGCCAGACTGGGAGCAACTTGCCCTGCTGATTCACCCAGGCCTGCCTGGGGCTGTGTCCAAGTGGACCCGGGGAAGGGGCACAGGCTCCCCGTTGCATTGGCACCGTGCACTGGCTCTTCCCTGCATCGCTGTGGCTGGCTCGGCCGGTTTGGGGGCTGGGGGCTGGGGGCCAGGGTGCGGTAGTGGCAGCTGGGGCCCGGGGTGACCTGTCCTGTCTCTTGCAGGTTGGCGCTGTACGTGTATGAGTACCTGCTGCTAGTGGGAGCCCAGAAATCTGCACAGACCTTCCTCTCGGAGGTGAGGACGGGCCCTGGCGTGGCACTGCAGAGACCAGCTGGGAGCTGGGGCTGGGGGCAGCAGAGAGGACTGGAGCGGGTGGAAGGGGGCCCATGTGGGGCGGGGGGCTGGCGGGGCTCTGTGTTCCCAGCCCGTTCTGATCCTGCCCCCAGCATCTCCTGCGGGTGCCCCCGTCCCTGCCGCCACGTAACGGCCACCCCCGCCCGTCTCTCTTGCAGATCCGATGGGAGAAGAACATCACGCTGGGGGAGCCCCCGGGGTTCCTGCACTCATGGTGGTGGTAAGCGCCTTGCTGCGGGCCGGGAAAGCGGTGGGGGCCGGAGCGGGGCCTGGAAGAGCCGGCGGGGGGAGCTGAGCCGAGCCCCCCGCAGCTCGCACTGCATTGACACACATCACCTCGTACCCCATAAACCTGCC